ATATATATTCCAGAAGAGAGAAAATATCCGGAAGGACAGAAAGAGGATTTTAATTTGTAAATGAACAAACTGTTGATGTTTGGTTGGGTTTTACTGCATTGTTGTTGTGTGTTTGTTTCAACATCTCAACATAGCATCTTGACTTGCCTTACCTGTAACTCAGCAGTTCCTTACCTATTCTCCTCAAGCTGAGGTCCCACAGTCCCTCATTACTCTCCCAAAGACACTTTTATCTTTTTTATCCAAATATTAAAATAATAAAATGTATAGTTACAAACTTTTATTTGGAAAGGCAACAAAAATAACTACAGTAACATCGTTGAGTTACACAATTTAAATTGATATTTTTGCTAGTGATGTGTGGATTGATAGTGAAATATCGATACCACCAGTACCAAAACTTAATGCTTTAGAATCAGTACTAAAATGTAATATTCCATCCATCCATCCATCCATCCATCCATCCATCCATCCATCCATCCATCCATCCATCCATCCATCCATCCATCCATTTTCTGTACATGCTTCTTCCTTTTCAGGGTTGCGTGGGTCACTGGTGCCCATATCCAGCAGTCACAGTGCGAGGGGCGGGGTACACCCTGGACAGGTCGCAAGTCCATCACAGAAATGTAATATTGATATTTAGATAATTTAGTCATTTCAGGTAAWGCATATCATTAACAGGAACTCAGTGGAATATAACWAAACTATTGAAATCATATGTGGTTGGAGGGAACTACTTTTTCTTCCGCCACAGTCAGTCAGTCTACATGTTCAGTTTCATGTCAACAGGCTCATGTAATGTAATGTGATGCAAGTTTTCATTTTTATAGTATTCCTTGATAATTAAACAAAAATTAATTATTTAAAACATAATTTTTTACATATTTTTTACATATTTTGTATGACTGTGAGGAAGTAGTGATTTCAAACAGTTTTACATTTACCACATTAGGTGTAGTTGCACAAAGTATCAGTTTCGCCAATACCAGCCCGAGTTTTCCCAGTATCAGAATCAGAAAGCAAACTGTGGGTGTCGAACATTAATTTTCAAAACCTCTGAGCAGACAAGGTTTTGTGCCYCCCATGTGCTCTTTGGCGCCCCCTAGAGTGAGAATCACTGTTGTAACTGATAAAAACCTGATCTAGGCAAAATTTTAGGTCACCCATTTGGTTGAAGATTAGCTGTTGATATACAGTATGTCAGTAGGTTTTGTGGTTGTGGAATCAATGCATTACATACACTTATAGTTGCTGTCTTCACAACTGCAGTTTGTTTTGTCTTTGTGTGTGTGTGGTGAGGGGGGGGGATTTAGAGAGAGTCCGACTGTGATAGGCACGTTTTGCTACCGACGTGAAGTAAAGCTGGGAGGTACAACAGCGTATCTTCCTTGGCCAGCCGTCTGCAAAGTAATCTCCATTTGTCATGGAGCGATAAGCCTGCTAAAGAGTCTAATGAGGATGTCCAGAGTGTCCACTACAGTAAAACTGCCACTCATAAAGGGAGACAGAAAATAAAATTAAAAAAATAAAAAAAGAAAGAAGAGCACCGCTTCTATCCACATGTCTGGTTCCACTACACTGATGATAAAAGCTTACCCTTTAGCTTTTGAAGCATGTCTCTTGAGGTCTTTTCTTCTCTTTTAGGTGCCACATCTGTATGTTTGCAAAACAACAAATGCTTACTTTGCAGGTCACATCTGCAGAGAGGCCCTCAGGTTTGCAGCGCCGATAAACAAGTGAAGTGTTACAGGCTCTTAAGCCCATCTGGTGTGATGATCGATCATTAGACAGAGTGTGGAGATAACTCGCTCAGCTTGCCTGCTGGCTACCGCTGATCCCGTATCACTCTCGCAGGATATGGTATGAATCACAGGAAGTTGAGATCAATCTATAGAGATAGTGCCGCATGATTACAAATGAGGACCAAAAAAAAAAAAAAAATCCCATTTGGCTTAGCCACTTGAATGCCTCAGCGTTTGGCTGTGTTTTGTGGGTGCGTGCGGGGACGTGCACGACGGCGAGCGTTAAATAATAGCTTTTTAACTTCCCTCCCCTCCTTAATGATTTCTGATATTTGTCGTTTCCAATCTACACAATCTGTCCTACCTATGCTCGTTTACTCTGCTCAGTCCATCCTACTCTTAAATCTCCCTTCTTGACGTAGTCATCTTTTCAAATCTTAATTAAAACAGACTCCAACCACCCCACCCCCCCCACCCCCCAGCTCCATCCTCCCAGAGGCTGGCTGAAAGCAGCTTAGAACAATCAAGAGGACGGATTAGAAGTGAGAAGAAAAGACGAGAAGAGGAGAAGCAAATGAATGGATCTGGCAGAGAACAATTTTTGAAGGAGGGGGCGAAAGAAAAATGACCTCTTCCCTTTCCTTCAGCGACCCGCCCCGCTACCAGCACCACCCCAATCCTCTCTCCTCTCTTCCTCCTCATCCTCGCCTCCCTCTCGGGGCTCTGGAGTCCTGGCCTGACCTATTGACATTCAGCTTCTCGGCAGATTAAGCAGCGAATGGAGCCTCCAGAAAGGGTAAACACACCGGAGGAACAATGACCAACAGGCAGCAACCTTATTGGATTCTAATTAACTGCCAGGAGAGATGGCTAGGGGCATGTTAAGTGCTGTTGGACACAAGTTAAACCCCCCCCCCCCAGACCTCGAGAACCACAACTCACGTCACCCGCACGGCTCTCGCTTTTTTTCCCTTCTCTTTTTGTGTCCTTTCTGTCTCCGCATCTTTAATTTCAATCCATTTTCTTGCTGTTTCRCATGAGAAATGGCAAACTGAAAGTTTTTCCTGCCATCCTCTCCTCCCTCTTTATTCCTCCTCCTCCCCGCTTCTTTTTTTTCTTTCAAACAAGGTGGAACACAGCTTGTCCCCCAGAGGTAGCTGTTTGAGCGATCAGGTTAGAACAGGCCGAAAAATTGGGAGAGATTATTTTATATTAAACAGATTGAATTATCCGCAGCGAGGAGTGAGGATGGAGGACAGCAAAATCGTTTTTCTGCATCGCCCTCGGGAGGTGCACTATGGTGGGGGAGTGAGGGAGATAAATGGGAAGGAGTGAATAGCTGATGCTCAGCGGTCACAAATCTGAGGGGAGCAAAAAAGACCTCTACTTTCCTCTCTTTTCAAAACTCTTCCATCACAATTTTTTTTAATGTGGCGCTAATTTAAGGGAGTTCAAGCTGGACTCTGTGTRCATGTGAACTTGCGCACTCAAGCAGAGGGTCTTCTGTCTTTTTRGTGGTCCTCTGATTAGGCTAACTCACAATGGTGATGTGGTTTCAGGGGGTSCCCGGTAAAGAGCCACAGGCACTAATTAGACGAGGGCTCATTAATGTGTTAGTGTGAGAGAGGGTCCGGGCCACCGTGGGTTGAGGCTGACACAGAAGGGAATAAAAGCAACGCCCCACTGGAGACAGGCCGTCGTCACCTCAACCATCGTATAAAGCAATTCATTAACTGGCGTGGAAACACACACGCACACACAAACAAGCCATGTACTCACAAACACGCAAACTCTCACACCTCACTGTGAATACCCACACTAAGTTTATGTGTTTCATTTACTCACTGCTTGTTAACGCTTTACCTTGGATCAAAGAGTCAACGGATGGATGGATAGAGGGCTGGGAGTTTTATTTGTCTGGGAAAAATGGCTACCCAGTTTTACGTTTGTCCTTTTACAAAAAGAGATTTGTTCTTACGAAAAAAAAAAACTATCCAAAACATGGACAAATCTCTCCYCTTGTCACCATCATATGACTCTTTGAAATCCTCTGAGTCCTAAAAGAAGA